TTTGTTTTTTAAACGTATGCAAATGCCGAACAACAATAATATTATTTGAAAAAGTACAATTATTTACAATTGTTTTAAAATATTATACATTTACGAGGTGTTGCTATGTCTGATGGTATCAGATCTGGAGATCTAGGAAGCCATTATAAAAACGCTTTTTGGTACGACCCTCATATAAAACTACCCATGTATGTCAACCTAATAATTTTTTTTTAACTTATTTTTTTATTGTTTAAATCGTCATTTCGTTAACGCGTCCAAATTTTAAATTTTGAGGTTAGAAATATTGCGATTCATAAATCAAATTTTGAATGGCAAATTCATGTTAGGTAAATATTGGCCGACATTATAATCAAGCTTATTAAATTTTATATGAAAAAATTTCATGTACAAACCTCGGTACAAACTAAACTTAGACGGTCGTTGAAAAATCGAGTACGCGCGTACATATGTTTGGTTTATTTTTAAAAGTTCTATTTGTGGACTCTGATTAAGTGCAGGGTATTTTTTTATTGTGAGTTTTTTATGATCTCCCGCTGCAGTTGTCAGGTAATTAACAAAAAAATAATCATTATAACATTTTATTATATTATGTTATAATTACTTTTTATTTTAATACAAAATGGACTATATACAGAGATGAATCTTCGTTAAAAATAGTCGTATTGGAGCCATAAAAAAAGCAATTTGAAGCTTGAAGTTTCTAGTTTTGAGATTTTTAGAAGAAAAACGTGCTCAATCCTAACGAATGCCGTAATAAAAAAATTCGAAATTTCTTGGCTTTCTTTTTTGGTCCACGGAATGTTCTGACTTAACCTCGGACTTAACCACCAATGAATAAATGTTTTACAAAAATTTGCTATTGTTTTTTTGAAAAAAAAAATTTCCATACTCTACATGAATTTAAAAAATCATGAAAAAAAGTGCTTTTGGTAGCTTTTTGAAAAATCAAGCGCTGAATCAAAAATATTATAGGTTGTTCCCTTTTATTAAGCCCAAATCAAAACAAGCGCAGCCCTTATTGGTATTAACATTTACTAAATGTCATTTAGTGGCTAATTTTAGCCCATGAACTGGACTGGAAACATAAAAAATTAGGCAAATGGGACTAATCTTGAAAAAAACCTAAAATATGAAAAAAAACCATTTGAAAAAAAAACAATGAACAAAATCCTGAAAAAAAAACAAAAAAAACGGACCGTTTTTTTTCAAGTCGCATCTCTAACTATATACATAAGTACATATACATTGTAACCGATTGTAACATTCACAATTTGCAATAATAAACAATAACATCCCGTGCAGTCTTGACAACATTTTAGCAAAAAATTTTTACTCGCAAACCAGACGGTCAATTATAAGGGTAGATTGGATGAACTGAAAAATATTGTTAAACTTGCTTGGTTTGTTGATATTCAACGAAAAATATTATTTGTTTAATACTGCAATGTTTTTCACACGCAATAATTGTTTTGTTGTTTTTAGTTTTGCGCCAAAAAGTTAACGGTTAAAAATAAATATATTGTAGGTATGTATATATATTATATATACAGACTGTATAGAATCAAGTAAGTAAGGCTGGAGACAAGGATGACAAATTATATTCTGATCAGAGAAAAAGAAACAAACTTTAATTGGGCGTGGTTTAAACCAAGTTGTTTTAAATCAGAAGAGAACCATTATAATTATTTAATAAATAGTTCAATTTTAATTGTTTGAAACTTTAAAAATTAATAATATGTCAAAAATAATTTGATTTAGTTAATTTTCATACTTTTAATATTAAAAAATAAGAAAAACAACCCTTTTAGGAAACAATAATAGCATATGGCAACAGCGCGGCATGCAGTTTGATCTACTGACAGTAGACTACTGTGTTTGTTCAGTAGTTCCGACACTGTCGTAGGGAAATGTGTATAGTTTTTAAGAAATACATTTTCGCCATTAACTGGAATTTAATGGATTTTAAACAATACTTAGTTTTTATTTGCAGAAATGCATTAAAACAAAACAAACGAATTCGATAAAAATAAAACCTATAAATTCTCAATCCCTACCACAGTAGGCGGGGTTTGGCACTTGTTTTATTTAAGTGTTTTAATACACACTGTATATTATAGGATAAATAAAAAAGAAATTTTAGTAAAACGTTTTTCTAAAATTAGGTACCTTTTAAAAAACTTAAAATTCCCTAAACGAAGGTACATAAAATAAAAGCCAGCATTTGAGTAGCATCTTTTCTCGTGGCCCCAGCTGAATGCATGTGCCCTTTAAGTTCATTAATAATTGAACATCTGGCAGCTGAGCGCCTAGTTTGTTAAAATTTAATTTTTAGGTCAAACTCGAAACGCCTGCAATGCATCTAGACGTGTAACCTGTCAAAAATATCCATGGCAATTTTAGAAAACATTTGTAGCAGTAAATTTAAAAATGCTTAAAGGATAAAATTTTTAGATTTAATCAATCCCACTAAAATTAGAATCCTCGTTAGAGATTTAACAATTTTTGTGTGCTCATTCAGGTAGTAAATACACGTCTAGACTGGAAGTAATACAATTCCATTTTCTGAATCCGCAGAAATCAATTAAAAGATGAATTTCAATTAAAAAAACAGCGAAGATCGCAAATGAATGGTAAAAAATGGTAATAAACTGACAGTTCCAAAAAACTTTTTTAGAATACGACCATAAATAACTAAGATAATAAAATAAGGTTTATGTTAAAACAAAAGAAGGTCGATAATTTGAAAACAACACCTCAAATAAAAAATATTTTTTCGAAAAAACTATTAGTCTCGATAAGAAATACAACCTTCTTTTGTTTTTAAGTAAACCTTGCTATCTTTGCTGTTTGATATTTTTGTTTGTTTTTTTATAACAATTGTACCTAGATATAAAAATAACAATTCCAAAAAACTTACGACCATAAATAACGGAGATAATAAGATTTCTGTTAAAACAAAAGCTAAATGAAAAAAATGTATTTGAAAAAAGTGTCTCGTGAAATTTACAACCACTACCAAAATAACGATCTTATTTTGTTTTTACATAAACCTCGATATCTTTGTTGTTTGATATTTTTGATTAAATGTTTTAGGTACAAAAAAATGGTAAATGCCTACTAAACTAAAAATTAGAATTAAAAAAAAAATTCTACTCCCACCTTTAAAACGCCCTTTATCGTACATGTTTCCATGACACTAAGTGACCTTTTAAATACACATTGACAAGTTGTGGCTTTATGGCGCTTTAGTCACGGGCTGAAGTTAGCAACAGGTTTTTAGTGAAGGGCTGAAGTTAGTTGACAGTTGTCAAATGTCATACAATCGTTAAAATAAAGTGCCTTTCTTGTAAAATAATACTAATTGTGAAAATTATTTTATTATTTCAATACAAAAAAAAACAAAAGTATTAAATAGTTTCTCAACTCCAATATTTGAAGAGTTTATATGAACATTGTACTGACCTTTAAATTTCGCCGGCAGTAAACTATAACTTAAATTCGGGCACGGACTCCACTGTTAAGTCCTCATAAAACATTTTCTTTACTTTCACTGTGAAAAACTATCAATTTTCAAGAAATACATTTAGATTTATAACCTTTATAATCTGTGTTTATAAAATACAAAAATGTGACATTTGACGGTGACACACAGATTCCCCTATTGTCCTCTATACAAATTTTTGATTTAAATCATTTTAAGATTTTAATAAGTATTTGTCGTAGAAAAAGTATAGTATGCACCTCGTTTATAAACTTTTCTATACACTCATTAATTTAAGCACTCGCTCGCAAGCTCGCTCGTGCCTAAATTAAATTCGTGTATAAAATGGCGTTTATCAAACTTGATACATAATATACTATTAAAATACAATAATTAATAACGGAGATACCTAATACTGATTATGTAAAAACAAAAAAAGTCGATAATTTATAAACAAAAGCTAAATGAAAAATATTAATTTGAAACAAGTATTAGGTACATAGTTGTGGTATTTTTAATATAATTTAACCAATTCTTGTAATTTCATTAATATTCATTTTATATTTCTTTTTAAAATATTGTAGGTACCTACATACCTATTACATCTTAAGACTTAAGTACTTAACTGTTTTAATTACATTATAGGTATTTACAATACAAGAATCAAACACGTGCAAATGTTTTCTTAAAATTCCCAAATTGCCCATTTTTTACTTTAAACAGAAAAAAAGAAGAGAAAAAGGAGCCTCAGAAGGGTTGATCTTTTATTCATGCTACATTCGCCCGCCCTTTCTAGTAAAAACCTTAGCATGTTCGTTTCGAACGAACATTCTATTGAAAACAATTTAACATAGTTTGCCGCAAAAGGAACAGAAATCTCGAAGCGTTTTGAAAAAATAAAAATTTTACCCCGTCATTGAAATTCAATTTTAAGGCTTTGATAAGTGTGTTATGATTTTAATTTAGATCAAGAGTTTACAGTAATTATTTGGCTTCACCATGTAATGTATAATTAGATTAGTTACTATTATTATTAGTTTTAAAATTAAGAATTATTGCATAAATTAACAGTTCAGCTGCATTTCGACGGTAATATTTGGGTTGTGCATTAAAATGTAATTGTTTTCGCTTGTTTTGCCAATTTGGCAAGGTACCCATGAAAAATTGCTAAAATTGACTTATTTTATATTTAAACGTTTTCCATTTGTTGCAACAACGATTGTTTTATTTGATTTAGGTACATTAGATTCAATTAAAACATTCAATAGTGGTTGGCGAGATGTAGTCAAGATGTCTGTCTGTAAAACAATAACAAAGAAGGCATTGAGTCAGATGATTTTTGTTGTTATTTGCGTGGCAGGTGCGATTTGGGCGTCCAAATGAGCGAAACGAATAGAAGGCGTATTAGGAAGAAAGTTTGTTGACGAAATAACATCTAGAGAGCGTTTCTGGGCTAAAAATCTAGGTCGCCGCCTGTCTTCCGAAGCAAAGGGTGCGGTTAACAACAAAAACGTACCTTATCAACTGGAATATGTCTGCTAGAAGACATCGTTGTCTCTCGAGCACTGTACTAGAAACAATCCGAGATTCTTTTGTTCAAAGCTGGAGTTATTCACCACATATTTCTCACAACAAACTTCATTCACAAACAAGTCACTGTGATTCTGTGTCTGTGCTTTCTATTTCTCCTAATTCCTTCGTGCAGAGAGAACAAAAAGCACAAACACACCTGCCCTATGTGCACCAGGGTACAAACAGGTAATAATAGGATGTTGCAATGCTACACAGCATCAACGCGATTCCACTACCAAGGCAGCACAACTAAGCTGCTTTTTGTCTCATTTTTCCTTCACCACTCGCTCTATTGGAAAGCCGCAGCGGTGCTCAGCCATCTAGCGGCGTCCACGCCAAGCGCGTCATTACAGGAATCTGTTTGCAAATCGATGAGAAACGTTTGTGCTAAAGGTTTTCATCCACGTAGGGATTTAAAAAAAAAACATTTTTAATAAATTACGTTAGGTATTTATTAATTTTTCTAAAGAAAATTCCACACCTGTAATTTTTAACCAATCAAAACGTGTATTTTTGATAGATCACCATGGCAACGGTTGAATTTTAGTGGAAATTTTTTCCTCGTGGGTACCCAACAGCGAATTATACTGGAAATTTTTTGACGTTTATAATAATTTTGACAATCTGGTTTTTATTTGTTTACATGATAATTTTGATACATTTCCATTAAAAAGTTTAGATGTTTTCTATATTCGTTGGACACCTCCTTTCTTCTTAATGGCGAAAATGCAGGACTTGAAATAAATTAAATGTCTATGTCTAATGAAATATATATAATATTTAGACACTATAGAGTAATTGCATCAAAAATGAAAATCCCTAAAAACCTTTTTATTGTAATCTAGAGGTAAAAACACATTGCGAAAATATTTTTTTATATTCCAAAAGTTCAACCCGGGTCCAAAATATCAAATTGAAAAAAAGGTACTTTTCAAACGTTCCGAACTCCCGCCAAATTGCATGACGTCATAAGCTCCAACTGTCAGAAATCAAGATGTCAACAAATAATAAACACCGATAAAGTTTAACATGGAAAACGCGAAACCAAAAATTGGTTGTAAATATTGTTTTGTGCCTTGTATAAATACAACCTGGAAAACTCCTGGGAAAAGGTTTATCACCGTGCCAAAAGGGAAAATAAGGATAAAGTGGATTAAAATAGCTCGGCGCGATATCAAAACATCGTCACCGCAGTCAACATTTTATTGATCATTTTAAGGATCATTTTAATGTAAGTAAAATAAAATGTCGTTTACTAGGTATATGGTTTGAATAGGTATGTTAAATATTAATAAACCCAAGAAAATACGGCTGAGCCGTAACTACTCTCAGTGTAGGGTCATAAACTTTGCTTTTGATAATTGAAGGGACAACTTTCCCAGGAGTTTTCCAGGTTGTATTTGTACAACAAGGCACAAAACAATATTTACAACCAATTTTTGGTTTCGCCTTTTCCATGTTAAACATAAACTTTATCGGTGTTTATTATTTGTTGACATCTTGATTTCTGACAGTTGGAGCTTATGACGTCATGCAATTTGGCGGGAGTTCGGAACGTTTGAAAAGTACCTTTTTTTTAATTTGATATTTTGGGGCCGGGTTGAACTTTTGGAATATAAAAAAATATTTTTGCAATGTGTTTTTACCTCTAGATTACATTAAAAAGGTTTTTAGGGATTTTCATTTTTGATGCAATTACTCCATTCTATTCACCTTTTTTTCCATTTAGCACTTTGAGTTTTGAATAGTTAAGATGCAAATATTCGTGAACAATTCAAAACAAATTTTCTTTCTTCAAGTAGGAGCCACAATCCTCTAATAATGCGGGTAAATAAGTCATTGCACGATGATTGATCATTACAGCAGACAATTTCACATTTTTTTACGTCGTGCCGCTTGACAGCTTCAAAACTTAAATAACTTTTAGGTTGGGGTTGACTTAGTTGCCATGGTAACTAAATAATCAAGTCAAGGTCAAGTTAAATCAAAAAATAAATTTTAATTATTTAAACACAATTTGGTGTGGAATTTTCTTACCGAATACCACACGAGGTCAAATTAAATCCGGAAATTTTTTCTCCCTCTTGAATATTTTTAGAAAATTATCCCTCGTCTTCGACTCGGGATAATTTTCAAAATATTCATGAGCTCGAAAAAATTTCCGGAAATAATTTGACCTCTAGTGGTATTACTAGTGAAAATACATTTATTTAATTGATGAAGGGGTTAAGTAATACTTTTAATAAAAATGGGGTATTTTTAAGTATATTACTATTTGTTTTACAAGGTCGATTATTTAAAGAAAAGTTGCGTAATTAAAGCCTTTTAAAATAAAATTTAATAATTGGAAAAATCCAGTGCTGCCCCGGTTCTTAAAATATTAAAAAAAAACTAAAAACCGTTTAAAAGCAACTTCGATATTCTTGGGAATTTTCAAAAAAGTACCATCTTTTGTTTTTATATGGAACTTTTTAAAAGACAACCATAAATAAGGGAGATATAAAGGTTTGTGTAAAAACAAAAGGCTTAGGAAAGGCGCTGTTACTTGTTAATTATTATAGTTATAATATCGATATAAAAAGATAACTATACCAAAAATAATATCAGATTCTAAAGTAAAAGAACTTTTAAGGGCAAAACGTCATTTCGATGAAGTTATGCCAAATGCCTCAATGGCAGAAAAAGTACATCGCCTTATGGACATTTTTGGAGTAAAAAAGTAACGTTTTTGGTTTTACAAATATTAAATCACACATTATTTTTAGCTAAGCAGATCAAACATTTTTGAAATTGAAAAAAAAATAAGGGGAAAACAATGATTGCACAACATTCACGTGTGATCACATACAATTTTAATTTTTTTATATAAATTCTTTCCAAAGCGAATATTATTATCCGCTAGGTATACTTTGTCTCTTCTGGGCCGTAGACACCTATATTTAACTACTTTTTTATATGATTTTACTCATCTGCGCACCACCAAAGCCAAATTAATTGAATTTTTAACTACGAATTTTGACAACTCAACTTGACTCAACTTGACAACCGTTCAATGTAACCTGCAATAAATTAAACATAATCACAATTACATTATAATTACATTTATAACTAGTTTAGTTTGTTTTAATCAATGCAACCAATTTTGGTTCCGTATTTACCAACCAAAACCTTAAATTTGCAACGTTGCCGCAGTCCAGATAAAAAAAATGGACTTTACTTTCTACATTTTCTTCGATTTTTTTATCGGTTTTGTAATTTAAAATAATTTAAAAAAGACCCTATTACAATTTTTAGATTATATATTAGATATCTTATGGTATTTTAGAACTCTTAAAACCTTTTTTATAATGCATTTATAAAAATATTTATTTTTTTAACAAATAAATTTAAGTGTGTGGACTCCTTTATTTTAAGCCGCCATGTTGCCAGTTCTTGGTGCAAAATACATTTAAAATTTTGACTGTTATTCTGTATTATCTTAACTTGGTGTTAAACAACGAAGAAAATAAATAGAATAGCAATAGGAAATAAATATTTGTTCGTTTTAAGGGTTTCCTTCGAGAATTTCTGACAGTTGGTCACGAAAACTGACCTAACCTAAAATAAAAAACAACAACACCGACCTGCACCGACCGAAAATTATGAATTTATTAGTTAAAGAAGAAAAGGATGTCGTTAAAGAATATAATCCGACGTGTTTCTGCAAAGAGAGCAAAGACGAAATCGTTAAATGCCTTGAGGTAAGTAAATATTAAAAAATTACAACATACAGAAACAGATGTCATAAAATATGCGTTTTAAACGTTTATTCCAGGAAAAAGTCGACTATGTGTACTCGTTTAGGGATAGATTCTTCGAGAACCACGACATAAAAGAAGCAATAAACAAAAACGCGGATGTTGAGAAGTTAATGTTGGAAATGTTGAGTATTTTCGACAAACATGAAAGTTTGGCTTTGCAAGTCAATAAGGCGCGTTATAACTACTTGAGGGGGAAATTGTTGAACGTCATGCCAAAATTCAATGTTGTCGCTGAAAGTTTGCTATCGAAAGCGTGCAAGTTGGACCCAAAGATGTTGGAAGCTTGGAACGAGCTGGGAGAATGTTACTGGAAGAACGAGGAGCTACAAAAGGCCAAGAATTGCTTTGAAATGGCCGCCAAAGATGTACGAAATCTAGTACATTAAAATAAAAGTATTATTGTAAGTATATTTCTTTTCAGGAAGTTAAAAAGAACAAGATTGCATTGAGGAATTTATCGATGATAGCAAGGCAGGAAATATGCGAAAATGCTGAAGAGAGAAACAAAAATATCAGACTGGGTTTAAACTATGCCAAAGAAGCTGTCCGGTTGGACACCCATGATGGTATTTCGTGGTCAATTTTGGGAAATGCACATTTATCAAGTTTTTTTGGCATTCACCAAAATCCCCAAACTCTAAAGAGATGTATTAATGCTTATAGTCATGCAGTAAGTGGTCTTACTTACTTTACTTTATATAATAATAATAAACTTTATTTTTTTCATAAATAAGGTACATTTACAAATTTGTTGTACAAGTATAAACTTAAATATTATGAAAAAAAAACAAGATTGTGCATTGCGGATTTTTCAGTAGTGGTTTTTGTAAATACTTTTTCATGTGAGTGTTTAAGTTGAAGAAAGCTTTTCTCACAAGTGAAACACAATGTTTTTTCTACGACCCTTTTATTTTTTATTTTATTCAAACACAAAACAAAATAACCTAAAAACGTGTTTGACAGCTGTCATAGTTACTTTAATCTTTTAATTTTTAAGGTAAAAGTTACTTAAAATCTATAAACTTACCTTCTCAATTTAAATAAAGGCTCTATTTATTATACAAACACAATTAATTGTGTTCTAAATGATATTTAGACATACATACACAAATACAATACAAATTTTGAAACGAATGTCAAACGATGCTGTCACTTTTTATACAGCAGGGTTGCCAGATCAGTCAGCGGAATTTACCTATTTGGAATTTAAAAATCCCCTAAATTAAATTTAGGAATTAAAAACAAAAATTCCCAGATTTTTTTTTATTAATTATTGATTCATTATTGAATTTTAACTATTCTTGTTAATAAAATATATTTTTCATATCTATGAAATCCCCAAAAATAGTTTGTGTTACGAATAAACTCCCAAATTTAAAAAAAAGAAAAAAATATGTATAATAATATATATTAAATTAACTTAATACGTTTTACTTCTTATAAAAATACATATCATTGGGTTATGGAACTAATTTTCAATGTTGGAAAACAATGCTTTCAAAACATTTCACTTTTACATAGTGGTCGTAGAAAAAATAATTTTTTTTGACAAGAACATTTTCAGATTTAGTGCAATGTTGCCAGATGTTACATATTTACGGTCTTTGGGGAAATTTGATATGCAACCCTTTATACAATAAAATATATATTCAAACACTTAACTAATTACCTGGGTCTCCAAAAGTTACGAAAAAACACATTTCGATTAAAATAATGTGCAAACTTTGTTTTAAACCATTTTAAAAATACGCGGAACTTAAAAATAATTAATTTTAGGAAAAAGATGTTATTGCCAGAAGTACGCCAGACTTGCATTACAACAAAGGGATTGTAAGTAAAATATAATGTTTTTTTTGCATAATAACTCTGTTTTCAATCACTTTAAGACCTTAAAGTATGAAGAAGAATTCCTGCTGGCCCTGGAATCATTTAAACGGGCTAGTTCGTATGACCCGACTTGGGAACCCCCGAAAATCAAAGAAAGACAACTGTTAGAATACCTAAGGGAAATAAACGATTTAGTTTCGACCCGTGGTAAAATGAAAGCCAAAAGACTGCAGCAAATATTACAAGTAAAATATATTGGTTGCAATTTTAAATTATTGTTATTTTAGTTGTTTTAGTCAATAGATGCCAAACAATTGGGGCCTTTTGGCGGGGGCGGCTACACATCCTCGGGGGGGAAAACGGTAAAATTGGAGGAAACTTTATTAAACGATTTAAAAACCGGTTTGAACGAGGAAAAAGTGGTTTTAGGGAAAGTGGTGTGCTCCATAAGAAATGATGATACAGTTCCTTTGTAAGGCAGTAAATTTTGTAGGGTTTATTTTTATTTTTCTACAATTTTAGCACTTTTTGTTTGGTGGATACAAATTGCACTTGTGTGGTTGTGACCATTTATAATTTGGCAAGCGGTAAAGGAGTTATTATAGGGGATTCGGTGGCCATTCCGGAACCATTTGTTACTGATGTTGATTTTTCGTACAATGATAAGGTGAGAAATATTTTTTTAATTTTTTTTGTCTTTAAACTTTTTTTGTCCAACCAATAGAAAACGAGATAATACGCAATTATTATATTTGTTACATGTTACATATTTTTTATATTAGCGTCCAGCGATCTATTTATAAAAATAATGTAAAAAATAGTAAAAATAGAAGAAAAAATTACACTCTTAAGTTTGAAAAAACTTTTTATTCGGAATTTGATTTATCATTTCATTTTCAGAATTAAAATAAATAGGGCCAAAAATAACTGAACATTCTAAATGAAAATACATTTTCTGAGCCTTAAAGTTAACTTAAAAACTTAACAATTTCAAAATTAATAAACCTTCTTTTTAACTCATATAATTATGACATAACCACAATTAAATTCTCCACTAAATTATTTTGTTTTACTCAATGAAGCCAATTATAAATTTAGGGTTCCTAACTAACTTTTTAAGTCGTCAATTTCCTAATAAAAAAAATTCGACTGAAATATTTTTTTAAATATTACAATGTACTAATGACAATAATTGTTTTTTTTTTTAGAAATACAAATTTCGATTAATCCGTGTAGAAAACCCCCTGATTTTGGTAATCAACAGTAAAAAAGGGACTAGAGAACTCATGGCCGGGGTGCAAATGTCGCTTTTCAAAAAATTCGATTGAAAAATATTTTTTAACTCCATAACAATTTCTATTAGGTACTTAACTATTATAAGATTGCACTTTTTTCTAATTATATTAAATTTGCTATTGTTAAAAAGTATTAAACATTTAAATTTCTTATTGGTGCAATAGTGGACCTAAAATTCGTTCTTTAACTGAACTGCGTTTTAACTTTTTTAATACGATTGATTTTTAACATTTTCTCAGTTTGATTTTTTAGGCTTTCATCACTTTTTATAGCTTTAATAATGTATACACTATTACTTTGTATGAATCCTTTTTTACACAATAAATATGATTTTTTAATAAAACAAAATGTTTTCTTAATGTACATACATATATTTTCTTATCTTTATTTTATAATAGGTAAGTACAAAATGATTTTTACAATAATTATTATTAGAATAAATATTAAACATGCTTATGATACGTAAGTTTTAATAATTTGTTTAACAATACTAGGAACCATTTTTACCTATATTTAAAATACGCTGTTTATACAGGGTGTACCATTTCTGAGACATCCTGTATATATTTAAATGGTTATTTGAAAATACAGGGTGTTATGTAATTAATGTAATATATTAAAATACTGAAAACCTTTTGACATAAGGTTTAACGGAAAAATATTTAAAAAAAAAATTTCCCAAAGATAAAGAAAAATATGCATTAGAAGTTTTTTATATTTTTTGTGATACGCCACTGGTTACACACTTGTGTTCTGTGAGTACATAAGTTACTAAAAAATTTCCTTGCAAAAAATGAATAAAAACTCAATAAATACTAAAGTGTTATGCCCTTAAAGCTATTTCTTTCAAATTTTAGGTTATGTGCTCAAATTGTAAATATCTTAACAAAAGGAAGTGCTTTTGGATTTAAGCAACATTTAGTACCTATTTTAAAAACTCCATAACCACAAAATTAATTATTTCATCGGTTTTTTTCTTTCTGTTTACTCAGATGAAATTAGGACAAGTTCACAGGTTATACTTTGAACATTCAATTTGTGTAAAAAAATCCAAAAGATAATTGTAAGATATTTAAAATTTGAGCACATAACCTAAAATTTGAAAGAAATGCACTAAATTCTGTAATAAGATTTTGTTTGAATTTACCTACATTACAAAAATCACATATCCACAATTAATAAAAACGCCAAATTAACAATTTTCATTGTTGATTTTGTAATTTCTGCTAAATTTAAACAAAATCTGGCAACTTTTTTTGACAGAATCTGGAAACACTTCTTGTTGCCAACCATAACATAATAAATTAAATTAGGCAACCAGATTAGCCTAAAGTTCCTAGTCGATCAGTGGCGTACTTTTTGGTAGGATAAAGGTTATTAGGAATAAATTATTTGTATACAATATATATAGTCTCTATAATTTAGAAAAAAATGTTTTTAGGTGCTTCTTTATGGACCCATTTTAATATATTACATTTATTACATGTAGGTATATTTAACACTGGTTTGTTATTATCGATTTATCAGTCTCTTTTTGGCTTGCCATCGCAAATAACATTGTTTTCAAAATATGAGAGTGTGAAAAATAATTAAAAGTATTTAAAATTGTATTAACGAAATAATAATAATGGCTGTTTAAAGATGGCGCTGAACTTCATAACAAACGCGATTTTTCTTAAAAACAGTTGCTTTTAGGCCGTTTAAACAAGAGTACCTTTTTTGTGCAAAATTAAATGAAAACTCATAAAATGAGTTTGGCAGAGCGTGAAATTAAAAATAGACCGTATTCTCCCCTCTGGCGCTTACCCCCTTTTTGAAAAAAATAAATAAATCTTCTTATCTCGTTTCCTGTTGATGGGACAAAAAACGTTCTTGAAATTTTTAACATATTTGTTTACAGGTAATACTTTCTCTGTTTAGTTACTAAAAAGATAGAGGGCGTTAATGCTGGAAAAAATCTTTTTTTATGTTTTGACCCTTTAAAATATCTACAAAAAAAATAAAATGTTTAAATATCATTTTGTCAACCGTTTTTGAGTTACAGCGGCTTAAAGTTGGGAATCGATAGGCGCCCTCTATATTTGTAGAAGGAAACAGGAAACGAGATACATGATTTTTTATGCGACCTTGAAGAATTTAGCAAATTTGCTAAAAATAATATTAATAATAATAAAAAATACAGATAAATACATTTATTTATATAGTAATCTTACACTTTAAAATCCTACAAGATTATTGTATGTCTTTGGCATGAAAAAATTCTTCCAGAATTTCGATTATTTAGGATATTTACCAGGGTGTTTCATTTAAAACGAAAAATAATTTTTTTACTTTGTTCACATATTTTTGAAAATGTTAAGAGAATGGCTTGTCTTACCGAAAAATTTTAAAGGAAAAAGTTGTAGAAAATTGAATTCTCTACAAAAAAGTTCTTGAGTTTATATCGCTAAATTGCCCAGTTTACAAGATATTTAATGGTCATGGAATTGAGTTTAAGACAAATTAATCTCAATAGAACACATTTTTTTTTAAATTTTTAAATAATAAACTGCTTATATCTTGTAAACTGTGCACTTTGGCGATATAAACGTAAGGACTTTTTTTTTGGAAAATTAAATTTTCTACAACTTTTTTTTTTAAAATTTTTCGGTAAGACAAGCCATTAACTTAATATTTTCGAAAATATGGAAGAAGTCATTTTTTTTACTTTTTTCACATATTTTTAAAAATTGAAGAGAATGGCTTATCTTACAGAAAAATTTTAAAGGAGAAAGTTGTAGAAAATTTCAACCTCTACAAAAAAGGCTGAAGTGCACTATTTACAAGATATTTAATAGTCATGGAATTAAGTTTAAGGCAAATTAATCTCAATAGAACACAATTTTTTTTAATTTTTAAATATTAAACTGCTTATATCTTGTAAACTGTGCACTTTGACGGTATAAACATGAGGACTTTTTTTGTGTAAAATTAAATTTTCTACAACTTTTTCCTTTAAAATTTTTCGATAAGACAAGCCATTCTCTTAATATTTCGAAAAATTTGGAAGAAGTCATTTTTTTTACTTTGTTCACATATTTTTGAAAATATTAAGAGAATGGCTTGTCTTACAGAAAAATTTTAAAGGAGAAAGTTGTAGAAAATTTCAATCTCTACAAAAAAGTTCTTATGTTTATATCGCTGATATATACAAGATATGAGTAGACAAATTAATCTCAATAGAACACAATTTTTAAAATTTTTTAAATATTAAACTGCTCATATCTTGTAAACTGTGTACTTTGGCGATATAAACGTGAGGACTTTTTTTGGAAAATTAAATTTTCTAGAACTTTTTCCTTTAAAATTTTTCAGTAAAACAAGCCATTCTCTTAATATTTTCAAAAATATGTGAACAATGTAAAAAAATGACTCATAACTTTTCATTCAAAATGAAAAAGGAAGTACTTAGAATCAAATATAAGGGCTCAAACTTTTTTGAGCAATATTTTGTAGTTTTAAATGAAACACCCTAATATTTACACTCCATGGAAAAGCTCACTAGAATTTGGAGATCTTGCGGTAACCACAAAACCCCTTATTGTTACGATCACAAATTAACCTCCCAGAGTTTGATGAAGTTCCCGAGCACTTCCTCGAACCACGCCCTCTTCTCGGGGTCTTTGAACGCGGGCGCCAAGGTTTTCATCTCCAGCTCCACCACGGCCTCGTTCAGCAGCAGATTGTTGAGAATCGACAGCAGCGCCAAGTCCCCGTGGACTTTGAGCAGGCTTTGGAAGCTGAAGATGTAGTAGTGCATCCGCAGGTGCTCCTCCACCCATCGTTCGACTGTTTTATTTCCGCTGGCCACCTTGATGGTGCCCAGGTGTTCCGCGTAGACCGGGCCGAAATACTGCAGGAGATCGCGCTTGTTCACGTGCGAAATACCGCGCGTTTTCAGCCGGTCTTTTATCTGCTGGTAGTAGTTTTTGTTGTAGACGAAAACCTGAAAACAAACAAATGCTCACACCATTACCACTCGATACTCGTTACCACTAGGGTTTTAAAGTGTCAAAAAAAAACGAACAAATTGTATTTTTTTCTGAAAATATACTAAGCAATGAACAATAGGGTGATTCATTTCCGCAAAGTTTTTGTTTTATTCGGTGCTCAAGCAAAATATTAATCTGCATATAGAAAAAAAAATTCTCAACAAGTTTGAGCTCTTAATATAAATTTTAAGTACTTACTATTTAAATTTAAAGTTTTACCGTTTAAAATGCATGTAAAAAATATATATTTTTTTTTCAAATTTGTAATGCTTACCCACCTTTGACAATATTGCAAATCGGTTTAATACACCTTATGGGGAATTTCACGCTCTTTAAAATTGCTTTTGAGTTTTTTTTGTAACTCGCATTGGTTTACCAGTAGGACAGTTTTTGAAAAAAATCGTTTTTTTTTTAATTTTTTCTAACAAACCGCAAAAAGTAGGGAGAAAAAAGGGCTGAATCATAAAAAAGTTATCCAACCAATATTTAATGAATTTACAGCCATTTTTATAACTGAAAACGTAAGAAATTGATAATTACCAACTTATAATGTTATTTAGATTGATTTTTTCTATTTATTATCATTATATTTCCCTACACTAAGAAGTTTTTTAAAATTATTGATTTCTCACTTATAATGAATATGAAAACAACAGATAAATTCATAAAAAACAATAAGAAAATTGTAACGTGGATTTTGCAATTTTTCAACATTTCTGTCATATAGCAAAAAAATATACATGAAGATTATTTAATTTTTTGAAGCGAAATTTGAAATATGTTACATAACCTTCTGTATATTCCGATTAAAGTTTTGTTATTTTTTTTGAATTTATGTGTTGTTTTCATATTCATTATGAGTGAGAAATCATAATAATTTTAAAAAAGTTCTTAGTGTAGGGAAATATAATGATAATAAATAGAAAAAATCAATCTAAATAACATTATGGGTTGGTATTTATCAATTTCTTACGTTTTCAGTTATAAAAATGGCAGTAAATTCATTAAATATTGGTTGGATAACTTTTTTTTATGAATCAGCCCTTTTTCTCACTACTTTTGGCGATTTGCTCGAAAAAATAAAAAAAAACGAGTTACAAAAAAGCGAGTTACAAAAAAAACTCAAAAGCAATTTTAAAGAGCTTGAAATTCCCCATAAGGTGTATTAAACCGATTTGCAATATTGTCAAAGGTTGGTAAGCATTAGAAATTTGAAAAAAAATATATATTTTTACATGCATTTTAAGCGGTAAAACTTTAAATTTAAATAGTAAGTGCTTAAAATTAATATTAAGAGCTCAAACTTGGTGAGAATGTTTTTTCCTATATGCAGATTAATATTTTGCTTGAGCACCGAAAAAAAACAAAAACTTTGCGGAAATGAATCACCCTAATGAACAACTTAACATTATTTTATTAAAAAGAAATATCCTGAAGGATAATGAATTTATTACAGAAAAAAACAAATAAAACTAAACATTGAATTGAATTGATTTAAGAAAATAAACATAAACGTTACATATACTGTCGGTTGGGTCCTTTTTGCAAAAAAATGTGTCAATAAATATTAATGTCAATTTGACAGTGTCAGAGTATTTAATTAAGGTCTTCAGCAAGTCCAAATTTAAAAAAAATGAATACAGCATTGAATTTGTTTTTATGCGACCTGATTGAAAAATTATTATATTTGGAAATTTTCAAAAAAATTGACATTTTAATTTTTTTATATTACCCTTGGAATAAAATGAAAAAAAGGCAAAAGTCAATTTTTTTGAAAATCTCCCAATTTTTCCGGAAAAAACGTTTTTTTTTCGCCGGCTTAACTTTTTCGAAAATTTTAATTTTAATAAAAGACCAATTACAAATAAAATCAATACGTTTTACGCAAGTTAATATTCAATAAATGTTATTATTTTCTATATTTTGCAACCTACTGAATGTAACCTAGGTACTTATGTATGCGTAATATAAAGCTAATGGTGGTAATTAAAAAAAATTAAATATGTATTCATAAAGATGTTAATGCAAGTACAATAACTATAATTTAATAGAGGTCCTTGTAATAAAAAACTAACTAATTTAAATAGATACATATTTTTGTATAATTTAGGATTTTAATTTACCATTTATGCTTAGTATGATTGATGTATTTTTTACTTTTTATTGTGTAGAACTGTAGTAAAAGTCCAAAGAAAATAGCCTATTGGCAACAATGAGAAACTCAAAATTATTACCCTATACTCGTAGGTATTAAAGTGATCCCACATAAATTAACTTAAAAGGAGTAAAATACTGGAAAAACTGCTGTCCGTGGGAAACGACATTTACCATATCCGTCTAAAGTTAAGAAAAATGCGAATCGACAATAATAAGAGGTCGCAGATCCCGACTGATCGGGTAACAACGAACAATGTACAAGCTGGCTAATAAAACCCAAGGCCGCTCGGTAATGACTATCACCTTACACTTTAGCTCTTTTGTAACGAATTTATACGAAACCGTTTTTCGATTGCAAATCTCTGAAAACTTAGCTTTAACACCAAAGTTCGTTGCTAAACTGTTTTGTATCCTTCGAGATTCTTAATTTGTAGATCTGATTAGGGGAAATGATGAATTGCATAATTCAATTCTTTAAATGGCATTAAATAGTGAAAATTGAAATTAAAAAAAAAACTATACTGTTTTGGAAGTTTTTACGCACCACAATATAGTAATAAAAAAACTCAGTTTTGTAAATTCACTACACGTTTAATTACAACTCAATTTGGGTTGGAAAAATTACAAAACGTTTGTTGAAATTTACTAAGCATTTATTAAAAATTTGTTCAGTAACATTACTATACAGTAGGGTGGGTTGAAAAAAAAATGTTTGTTTTTTTTCTTAGCCTGGGGTAGAATTTGTACCTCATAAAATAATTTTTTTACTCAACATCTTGAGGTGGCCCACTCGTTTTTAAAATAAATATTTAATCAAATGGGGTAGTTCCAACGGGAAATTTTTTTTGTTCAAAAGTTGAAAAAGTATTTTTCCCATTTTTTTTTCTAATTTAAGTAAAAAATTAAAAAATTAGGGGAAGGTAGGGGAATTTTGCGCGGTGGGTAATTTTACCCATAAACAATTCTTCCAGATATGAAGTAAATAATACATTTTTTGAATGTTGCAAACTTGGAAACGTTGCTTTGGGTATACGGGGACTATAGTGTACCGCAATTAAGCTTGTAGCTTTTAGCTAGTGACCATGGTCACTAGCTAACTGTGATACATGTACGTTGATAAATGTTTATAACACAACTTAATATGATCTTTCCTCGTAATCTGGTGTATGTTTAAATTGTTCAGGTTAACTTTTGAAAAGTTCTTTAGTATCACAATATTTTTCTTGCAATGGGGGTAATTTTACGCTGAAAAATTGGGGTAATTTTGCGCTGCAAAATTTGGCCAATATGGGAGCTTTGGTACAGGAGCCTAGATTGTTCAGCATAAACAGTTCCATTTGGGCACACACGGAGTGTAGCGAAATGCACTTTTTTCGTATTAGAATGAAAGTTGAGTGAAAAAAATTCACAATCTACAATTTTTACATGTTTTCCACGATTTTGGACCTAAAAAAGAATTTCCCGTTGGAACTACCCCATTTGATTAAACATTTATTTAAAAAACGAGTGGGCCACCTCAAGATGTTGAGTAAAACATTTTTTTTGGCCCCCCCCAGGCTAAGAAAAAAAACAAAAAATTTTTTTTCGACCCACCCTACTATACAGGTATTGTAATTTTGTTAAAAAAATACTAAATGTTTAGTAATTTTTAGTATTGTAATTATACTATACTATACAATACTATACAATTCATTTAAACTCAGTTTAAGAAAATTACAAAATATATTTTACAAATTTACTGAACTGAAGAAAATTCGTTTCGCAATATTACAATACAAATATTGTTATGTTGTACAAATTACACTAAAAATATTTAGTAATTTACGAATAATGGTATTGTAATAAATAAAATAAAACTCAGTTTTGTAAATTCACTACACGTTTAATTACAACTCAATTTGGGTTGGAAAAATTACAAAACGTTTGTTGAAATTTACTAAGCATTTATTAAAAATTTGTTCAGTAACATTACTATACAGTAGGGTGGGTTGAAAAAAAAATGTTTGTTTTTTTTCTTAGCCTGGGGTAGAATTTGTACCTCATAAAATAATTTTTTTACTCAACATCTTGAGGTGGCCCACTCGTTTTTAAAATAAATATTTAATCAAATGGGGTAGTTCCAACGGGAAATTTTTTTTGTTCTAGAATTTGTAGGGTGTCCCCTTAAAAGCCAATTGGAAGTCAAAAGTTGAAAAAGTATTTTTCCCATTTTTTTTTCTAATTTAAGTAAAAAATTAAAAAATTAGGGGAAGGTAGGGGAATTTTGCGCGGTGGGTAATTTTAAAAATCACAATCTACAATTTTTACATGTTTTCCACGATTTTGGACCTAAAAAAGAATTTCCCGTTGGAACTACCCCATTTGATTAAACATTTATTTAAAAAACGAGTGGGCCACCTCAAGATGTTGAGTAAAACATTTTTTTTGGCCCCCCCCCCAGGCTAAGAAAAAAAACAAAAAAAATTTTTTCAACCCACCCTACTTGTATTGTAATTTTGTTAAAAAAATACTAAATGTTTAGTAATTTTTAGTATTGTAATTATACTATACTATACAATACTATACAATTCATTTAAACTCAGTTTAAGAAAATTAAAAAATATATTTTACAATTTTACTGAACTGAAGAAAATTCGTTTCGCAATATTACAATACAAATATTGTTATGTTGTACAAATTACACTAAAAATATTTAGTAATTTACGAATAATGGTATTGTAATTATACTACGAAAAAAAAACCTGCAATTTTTTTCTTGACCAATTAGGTAGTACCTAATAGGTACCTACCGTAAAGA